AGAACATCCCAAAAACGAAACTGTTATGGTATAGTTACGAAAGAAGAACGTTAATTTATAAACGTAACTGCGATTTTGTTATGTTTGAGGACTTATAACGACACTATTCCATTAAGGCGGCGTAACATATCTTTTTTGAATAACGTAACGTGTAACCTTGAAAACAAAGATGTGACGAAACTGGGATGTTTTTTTGCTTAGTGGGATGTCTTGTACGAAATAGCACCCCCAACTTTTGGGACGCCCTTTTAGCAATATCTGCCACGTGATTGTGCCAAGACATGTTGGTCTCTGCAGTAACCCCCAAGATGTTCAACTGACTCTGTAATGTGACAGCACTTCCAGATAGCATGATGTTTGGCTCACCGGTGCTGTTCTTTTTTGAAAAGAGAGCTGCTTGGGTTTTCTGTGCGTTGAACTGTACAAGGTTTTTGTCACCCCAGTCCTCTATTATCTCCAGGTCGTTATTTATCTGCGATATTTGAATTAGTCTAAGATGATGGAATTCACGTGCGGAAAGACCTGTGGGTGGTATGAGTGAGGAGACTACATTGCCATCGTCTGCAAAGCAATAAAGTGGATTTACTGTTTTATCTATGAGGTCATTTATGTAAATCAGAAAAAGAGTTGGCGAAAGGATTGCTCCCTGTGGCACACCAGCATTTATTTGGTAAGAGTTGGAGTTCTGGCCATCCAGTGCAACATAAATGGATCTGTCCTTTAAGTAACTTTCAAACCAAGTGCAAAGTTTCGGCGATAATCCCATTGCTTTGAGCTTGTTGAGCAGATTTTCATGCCAAACTTTGTCGAATGCTTTAGATATATCTAAGGCAATTGTTCTTGTTTCACCCCGCAACTCAATCGCTTTTTGCCATAAGTGAGTGACGTATGTAAGTAAATCGCCAGTTGACCTATATTTTCGAAATCCGTATTGCTTATCGTTGATAATTTTGTACTTTTCCAAGTACTTGGTTAGGTGATTGTTCACAACTCTTTCCATTACTTTTGATATCACCGGAAGTAGAGCAATTGGTCTATAGTTTAACGGATCTGTCTTTTTTCCTTTCTTTGGAATGGGTTGTACTGCGGCAGACTTCCATGATGATGGATATACTCCTTGCCTGTAAGACAAATTGAATAATTTTGCGAAAGTTGGAGTGAGTTCGTTGGCGCAATTTTTGAGTACTATTGCGGGAATGCCATCCGGACCCATTGCTTTGTTTGTATCTAGCTTTTTAAGGGATTTTCGTATTTCTCTGTGACAAAAGGGTACCTCTGGCATACTATGGGAAACCCTTTCAATGAACGGTGGAGTTTTTCCGTTTGGCACTGTTAGGTTGGAGTTGGAGGAAAACATTTGGGCCAGCATATTGGCTTTTTCCTCTGATGTTGTGGCTAAGTGATTATTTTTATTTGTAAGTGGTGGTATGGATGACTTGGTGAAGTTAGATCCAACAGCTTTTGCAAGAGACCAAAAGGACCTAGAACTACTTGGACAATTCAGCAACCTGTTTTTTATTCTTTGATTGTATGTTTCTTTAGCGGAGTCAATAGTAATTTTGCAACTATTTCTGGCTTCTATAAATTCTGTGTGGTTTTGAGCGGTTTGTTGTCGTTTCCAAAGGTTATATGCTCTGTGTTTTTTCTGTACAGCCGTTTGACACTGGCTGTTGAACCAAGGTTTTGCATTAGCTCTACGTTTAGTTGTATGTGGGATATATGCATCCACAGGGTTGCCAGATGGTTATAACTAATTTCGCCCAAAGGATTTCAAAAATACCCCAAAAATCACTGTTTGTCAAAAAAAATCCCCCAAATAAATAAAGATTTATTCTCGACTCCATACTTGCAAAAAAAAAAGACAAATTCGTTGAATATTTTAAAATAAAACTCATACCCTTACCACTTTTTTATTTGTTTATATTTTTCTAATCCCAAAAATAAAATGACAATTGACAAATGACAAATGAAATAAAATGTTGTGACTGGTGACAGAACAGATAAGTACCTACAGTTGTACCAAGAAGTTTGGATAGTTTATTATTACACTCATCAAAAAAGTCTAGGGGACAAGAAATATTCGTCTTTTAATTTTTAGACAGAATAACTTTTTTTAAAAAGATACCATATGGGTATTTGTTGAACAAATCTTGTAAAATTTATCATATCGACTTTTCCAGTAGGCTTTAACAAAATTTAAAAATCTTTTAGAAGTATATTTTGTTCAATTTATAAATGTATTCACTTGCATCTTGTTTCCTAGACTATTTTGATGTGTGTATATTAAGCTGTATTAAAATTTAGAATACAGCAACTTAGAGCACTACGCACTATAACGGCAAAGAAATGCAAAACGCAAAATAAAAAATAAACAATGCAAGCAACGTCGGTCGTTGGGGATTCCCTCGATCCGATTTGTCAAGTCAATTGTCATTTGTCATTACAAATTAAAATAGATCTAGAACTGAGCGTTTGCGTTCATCCCAAGAAGAAGCAAACTGTATCTTTTTTATTGGTACTTGATTGAAAAAATAGATGGCGCAGTTGTTTTAATACATTTTTTACTTTAGTTTTATTCATTGAAATATACCCGATTTCCCCCAATAGCGAAAATTCTTACAATTCTTACCCCCAAAAAATCCCCCAGAAAAAACTATCCCCCAGATTTTCCCCCATCTACTTGAAAATCCCCCAAATTTGGGGGAAAATCCCCCAATCTGGTAATACTGTGCATCCATTCCAGATAAGATTACTTGTGTTATTTCATTACAGCAAATAGTGGGATCAGCTGTTTTAAAGCAAACCTCTTGCCATGGAAAATCCAGGTAAAACTGTTTTAGGTCATTCCATTTTGCCGATTTATAGTGCCACATTTTACGAGGAAGTGGTTGTTGGCTTGGTGGGATGAGCATTTCGCACTTTGTTATTATAAGTTTATGATCGGACGAACCAAGTGGAGCATCTACTTGAATTGTGTACGAGTCAGGATTTGTGGTTAGGAACAAGTCTAAAAGCGCTGCAAATTCGCCCCTTTCTGAGATACGGGTAGGTTCATCGACAAGCTGCGTTAGACCACAACTTATGGCAAAAGCTTCAGCTTCTCTGCCTTGGTTATCTGTTTTGTTGTGGTGTTTCAGCCAGGGTATATTGTGGACGTTGAAATCGCCTAAAAAGACAATTTCCGCCTGTGGATAGTTTGACTGTATACTATCACAGCTTTCGGATAATGTCGCGAAAAAGTTTTGGTACTCGGTGTTAGATGGCGGTCGGTAGAGGCAGCAGATAAACTTGGTCGATGACTTTGAGGTGAATTTTAGCCATATGATATCAAGGTTCGCTGGTTCTAGCTTCTCCTCTCGATGACATGAAAGGTCATTTTTAATGTACACACAGATCCCAAAATTATGTCGAAATCGGTGGTGTAGGTCATAGCCGGGATAAAGATAGTTCACAATAGGTGTTGCAGAACTGATTTTAGTTTCAGTGAGAACAAGGATGTCAGGTCTTTGTTCTTCAAGATGTTGGTGAACTGAATTCATATTTGTACTTATTCCTCTTATATTGCTAAAATCAATTCTGAGAGGGTTCTTCTATATTTATCTCAAAAAGGTCCAGTTTCAAGATTCCATGAGGCGAGCAAACAAAATTTACGTTAGAGCCGCACACAAAATCAGTTTGAACAGTGCATTGATTGTTAAGTTTATTCAATGGCCTGTAAGTTTGTGAACTTTTATTTTCCTAAATATTTTCGTATTTTAATCGAGTTCTCACCTAAGGCTAGCTTAGTGATTAGGGTTTAATTATACAGTGTGTCCGTAAAGTAACGGATAAACTCATTTAAAATTTGAACATATTTTTTTTTTTTTTGGAAAATAACTCTCGGACACGTCGATCTTAATTTTCAGTGGCGCAAAGAGACCAAAAAAAAAAAGATATCACATGTCACGTCACGTGACACTTATATTACTCTTTAAATTGTATGCCCTGTATATTGTCATGAATATCGATAGAGCACATTGTGATTCGCTCATTGATAGATGGTTCAAGAAAAATTCTGACCTGAAAATAGATGTGTTTTTAAATTAATGAGTAAAAATTGTGACCTAAAGTGATTCAGCTTTTGAACTAATGAGTACAGATTCTGACCAAAAAAATGAGTTAAATTTTGAACAAATGAGTATAAACTACATTAATTTCATGTACGAGTAATTGAGTTCTACTCATTTGCGAGCTTCAATAATGAACTCAAACTCAATATTGATTGTTCTGATTTATGCATTTAAGTAATGCGTCGTTTTTGATATAAATAATAAGAGTTTTTGAACTTATGAGAAAAGATTCTGATCTGGAAATGAGCGAGTTTTGAACTACTGGATAAAGATTCTGAAGTCAAAATGAGTGAGTTATTAAATTAATGGGTAATTTTCATGAGATAATTCGTCTGGATACGCATTATTGATATTTATTAAAATAAACAGAGCATTCCATTTGAAAAAAATGATGTGTCACGTGATATCTCTTTTTTGGGTCACCCTGTATAAATCCAAATTAGTTCAAAAACATCAGCGCCACCCAAACTTAAGATTATTTGAGATCGACGTGTTCAAGCGATTTTCCAAAAAAAAAAAAAAATATATATGTTTAAATTTTAAATGAATATATCCGTTAATTTACGGACACACTGTATAATTAATTTGCTTATAGTTATGACTAATTTCAACTAACCTAAATAAGGACATACATTTAACTTGAAACTATTCTCAATTTTGGGCTGGATTCTTCTCTCAAAAACTTCCGTAATAATCAATCTCTCGATTGATTCGTGATAAGTTGACCTATTTTATCGATATCCTTTTAAAAAACCTAAAACAAATTCAACATGATTATTTCAATTCTGGCCTTATTCCCGAAACTACTGCCGCCGAAGTCCGGGCCTGTTCAGGGCCGCGATCCCACTTCCCCTGCCAGGCCAGGTCATCGGCAACCTGGAACGGCTCGGGCGAAAAGCGGTCAACCAACAACAGAATCAGAATGTGTACAGGTGTTTTTTAATGTAGTTTGTAGTTTCACTTTAAAAATTTGGGTTCTCGTTCCCCTGCAAATCGTAAGTATGTTTTGTTTTTATTCGACAATAATTCCTGATGGTTTTCCGATAGTTCGCCGTGTTTTTGTGTATGTGGAAAAGCAGTTATTTGTTGATATCTAGTGCATAAAAGTGCAGTGTTCTCATTAGGGACATCCTCGTCAGGTATCCCAAATGTAACGTTATTCGACCAGCCAGTGGCGTTGCTTACGTGTTCAAAGCCTTTGGCCTCCTTTAAAAAGTTTTCGAGTTTCGGTGATTTTAGGACTTTATCAGTATCGTTGTTATTTTCTTATTATGTTTTCATTAATCAGATGGTCTTTGAAAAAATCCAAGTGTGTGACGTAATTGTTTGCAGAACCGACTTTTCTTTAGCCTATGGCAATTTGCATGACCTGCTGCCGCGAAAAATGGGTTACATCAAAGGTGGGCCCCATTCTGGTTATTGAACTGAATAATATTTTGCAATACCTACTACAGTTAGTTTTGGAATTTTGTAGTTGCACAATTTCTCCGTTTTTCAGGTATTTATCGTATAGGTACTTTAATGTGTGTATAGTTTTTTCAAATTTGTTTACCTACTAGATGTCAAAATTTCTAGTGCAAAAATTATCTGGATTCATTATTTGATTACCTAGTTAATTTACCTTTGACACAATTATGAGCTTTTTATTATCTGGACTTGACTTTAAAAATAACTATAATATCAGCATTGAGGGTGCCTTATATTAATTAATTCAAAAATCTAGCACACTTTATTATTGGGGTCATTGAAGCTAAAGCCCATAATCCTCATTTCCATACTCCAACAAACCCTCGAACAAATCCAAACAATACAAGAAATTAGAACTCTTGACATGGTTAACTACCTATTTTCCTTTTTTGTTTTTTTAAAAAGGTAGTCTCCATAATATAGTTTTTGACTTTCCCAATTAAGTAAGAATGTTGCTCAATTGACTTGATTTTTCTTACAGGATTGGAAATATGCCTGGCATAACAATAATCGAAATGAGTTGTCAAAAACAGACACTTTAAGCTACAAGTTTGGTATTAAAATTGTCGATCTTCAACAGCTATAAAGGGCACATGAAAATAAATTTCCCCTTACTTACATCATAGACCTAACTACTACATAGTAATTAGGTCTATGCTTATCAGGGTTGTTCCAAGAAAATTTTCAAATGTGCATTTAGCCAATGAAAAAATTGTGCACATGACGTAAATGACGCAAATATTAAAATCAATCTCTCTAGCCTTTTTCACCCGGTTCCGGTTTAACAAACCGCAACATACCGCTCAAATTTGAGTGGTATCAATGACGTCACTTCGTTACTATTTAACCGTGTTAGAAAACGTCATGTAGATGTCATTTTGGGAAAATTGTGACAGGTCAAATCAAATCAAATCAAATCAAATCGTTTATTTCCATAGACATATAGGTACAATGTATCGGAATTGTCAAATAAATAAAATAAAGGTAAAATATCATTCACAAAAAACAAAATCAATTTACAAAAATCTAAATGAAGTTATGATTGAAAAACTCAATCAAGGAGTAGAAAGGGCACTCAGCAAGCATGGCCTTAAGAGTCCCTTTAAAAATTTGAAAGCCCGCAGTGCTCTTAATGCGTTCAGGCAGATGATTATAAATTCTCAGTGTGTAAACTTAAATAAAAAATTGTGTGTTTTGTTAATAGGTCTGTTTCTGCAGAAATCACAAACCAGTAAGAGTGAATTTCATTGGTTGATTCTAGTTTTCTGACTGTTTTCAACCACTGAAATTCGCTCCGACTGGTTTTTGAATTCTGCAGAAACAGACCTAATATCAGGGCCCTAGCGATATGACTACCTCTAGGGGGGGAGACTGAGATCCGGCGCCCCCTAAGCTCCGCAAAACCAGTAGAATTCAAAGGCGAAAAATAGTTATTTATTATACAAAGGAAAAAAGTACTAGATTTTAGCGCGAGGTGTGGTTTGTCTAGACAACATAGCAAGCGCTAAAATCTTACTTTTTTTCCGTATATACACTATTTTTTCTGTGACGGGAAAATCTCATCATTTTCCATCTATACATCTTTTTTTTTCTGTGACCTTACTTATACTTTTTTCCCTTTGAGAAAAAAAATTTGACTGGTAGGTACCTGTTACTTTTTTCCCGTGGGAAAAAAAATCACTTTTTTCCCGTGGGAGAAAAAGTGACATTTTTGCCTCTGTCAACAGGTACAATTTTCCCGTCACAGAATTTTTTTTTTTTTTGCAACTTTGACAGGCTTTAAAACCTAAATGGTTAATTTTAGAGGAAAAAGGATTTTACATTCATTTCTTAGATTTTCATAAAGGACCCCGCAATATTTAAATGCAAATTGGTTACCCGTGATATTTGGATGAAATTTAAATATGTTATTGGGGATGCCGTAAGCAACATTTTTTATCATGGGCACAACTCTGTATATATGACAAGTGAGGCGTGGTTAGCTGTCAAATATTGGAATCTTATATCCAAAAGCAGAGTAACTATGGCAGATTTTGATGAACAAAAAATCTATTTCTACTAAGTCGACCAAGTTAAATCGAAAAATGTCAACCATTTTGACACCTGCCAAAACCCTGTCAAACGGCGGCACTCATCTTTTCCAGTTTTCAATATTTCATGATATCATTTGACACTTTTAATTTGTATGTAAATTCTGAATTCAAAAATTGAAAAAAAAATGACAGAAATGTCAAAACCTGTCATTTGTTTTAGTGGAGAAAAATACTCTAATCTGATTCTTTTTTGTTTGAAAGTAGTTTATTGGTGATAAAACATTAAACAAAGTTCATGCATGTCAGAATCTGTTTTTGCTTTTTGGTTCATCATACATATTGAGTTTGTTTGCTTAGTGAAGTTCTACAACTATAATGCAAGAATAATACAATAATACAATAGAACTAAACCTTCACTAAGCGAACAAACTCAATATGAACCAAAAACCTATTAACAGATTCTGACAGTTGTCAAAATGTGACATGCATGAACTTTGTTTAATGTTTTATCTCCGCTAAACTACCTTGAAACAAAAAGAACCAGATTAGAATATTTTTTTCTACTAAAACAAATGAAAGGTTTTGACAGTTCTGTCATTTTTTTTTCAATTTTCGAATTCAGAAATTACAATTTACATACAAGTAAAAAATATCAAATGACATCATAAAATGTAAAATATGAAAAACGGAAAAAGATGAATGCCGCCGTTTGACAAGGTTTTGGCAGGTGTCAAAATGGTTGACATTTTTCAAAATCTGCCATAGTTACTCTGCTTTTGGATATAAGATTCCAATATATGACAGCTAACCACCCCTGACCTGTCATATATACAGGGTTGTGCCCATGGTAAAAAATGTTGCTTACGGCATCCCCAATGACATATTTTTCATCCAAATATCACGGGTAACCAATTTCCATTTAAATATTGCGGGGTCCTTTAAATTATCATTTGATACCAACTTTGAATTTAATCCATGATTGAAAATTTCTTACAGCCGGGCAAAGTTGCAAAAAAGTCAGTTTTCAACTATGTATTAATATTTCCGAAACAGTTGAACTTAGGTCTAGGATTGGGTATATAGGCTAGTAAAACTAGGTGGGCAACCCTAAACAAATTCGCTACAAGCTGATTTTTGCGCCATTGTGTTCCTTTTAGTGTTTCCTATAAAGGGTTAAAAATCCCAAAAAATCCGATAGGGGACGCAACCCCAAAACCACCCCCAGAGGTGCATTTTTTAGGTTTGTACAAGGCAAGTTTTTTGTAAAGTACAAAAGTTCGAATCAAATGGTATACACATTTTAGTGTTGATACAGGCCTTAGAATTCAATTTTGAATAATTCCTTCCTCATGATTGGTTTAGTTTGACGTTTTAAAATTCAATGTTTGAATATTTCCGATTCCTAATTGGCTTAAAAATTCAATTTTTCAATTTTTCCGGCTTCTGATTGGCCTAAAAATTCAATATTTGTAAATTCCCGGCTCTTGATTTGCTTTGAAATTCAATTTTCAAATATTCCCGGCTTTTGATTGGCTTAATTTGATGTTTTAAAATTCCATGTTCCAATACTTCCGGTTGGCGATTGGCTTAAAAATCAATTTTTTCAATTTTCCCGGATTCTGATTTTCTCAAAAATTCAATATTTCCGATTCCTAATTGGATCAAAAATTAAATTTTTCAATTTTCCCGGCTTTTGATTGGTTATAGCAATAAATATTCCGAATTGTGAATAGGCACATGTCACTAGATAAGACCAATACAAATTTAAATCTTACTTTTTTATATTTTTATACTCTTATATATGGGTGAGGCCCAATAAGTAGTGGTGATAAAAAGTTATGTTTTTTAAATGACTCTTCCTGTATATTATAACATTTCTGAATTCTATGGAAAATTCTAGACATTTCATGTACAATATCATATACCTATCTTCAACTGTTTCGAAAATATTGACAGTTTAAAATTGACTCTTTTGCATCTTTGACAGACTGTAAATCCTAAACGGTTGATTTTACGGCAGATATTACATTCCTATATTAGATTTTCATAAGCTATCATTTGACACCAACTTTGAATTTAACCGGAGATTAATAATTTTAGCGGAATTTTCAATCATGGACTTAATTCAAAGTTGGAGTTAAAGGATAGTTTAGGAAAAACTGAGATAAGAATGTTGGTATGATCGGTTTTGCTGTAAAATTAACCGTTCAGGTTTTACAGCCTGTCAAAGATGCAAAAAAGTCAATTTTCAACTGTCAATATTTCCGAGACAGTTGAAGATAGGTATATGACAATGTACATGAAATATGTCTAGAATTTTCCGTAGAATCCAAAAATGTCATAATATACAGGCGGAGTAATCTGAAAAATTATAACTTTGTCTCATCACTACTTATTGGGCCACCTTGTATACTGGAAAATAATTCCAGAATATAGTACTCATATTTATCTACAAGTTTTGCATTTAGTTGATTTTTCGATCTCTGTTAGTATAG